GAAACCACTCAAAACCTCGAACCAATAAACGGAACACTAAAATTCAAAACGACCGATCTAGTCATCACACTCTCCTACAGAAATGTTTCTTATGTTAACAAAAGAAACAGGCAAAAGAAAGTTAGAGAACAATACTCGATGTTTAGTTACTTGAAAGGAAATTAAATCTTGTCATTACTAACGCATGAATCTATTTTTATTTTATTTTATTTTTTCACAGATAAATGAATCTATGGATTCATGTACCATGAATGTTAGGACTTATACAACCATGTAATTCGTTCTGTACTTATTTCCTCCTTTTTCACAATTTCACTGTAAATAATTTTTTAATGACGAAAAATGGAATATCGGTGAGAAAATGATCATAATCACATTTTGCTGCAATGCAACTCTTAAAAACTAATAGTAATAAAAATACAATTAAAAACTTATATGATAAAAAAAAATATTGCTTTTTAATTGTGTAAGCTCAAGATCATAATTCGAGATCAAATTTTTTATGCCTTGAAAGAGTCATTGGGGGTTATGGATGTGCGCATCTATATCTATATCTATATCTATATCTATATCTATATCTATATATATATTAAAGCTAGAAAATTGCTATATATAATTGACATTATAATTAAGCCAAGTGACAAGCTAATAAATGTTAATAATATATGGTAACATTATTCTATATTTGACTATTTTAGTTAAATACAAATATATATATATATATGAGTTTTGCTAACCTACTGGCACGATATAGTAAGTTAGCATTGTATGCATCTTTTGATTCTCTGAAATGCCCTTACTATTTCATCCCTCCTCATTAAATGTAAGGACCTTTTTGTCTTTCTACTAAAAGCTCACTTAATTCCCTCTTTTTCTTTGCTATTCCCTTTCGATACAAACCTTCACATTCCCTATGCGTTCCATCGTCGACGGCGAACAAAAAGGTTATATGACTCTACTTTGAAATTTGCAAAACATAAATTTAAATCCATATATCAATTATCATATCTAAGTACACATTCTTTACGGTTATTTTCTTACGGTCACTGATAATTTGGATTCTAAGATTTTTGAGATCTAAATTTGGATCCATAGAACTTTGGGTATTCAGGAAGAAGATCAATTTTGTTTTACCTCGTATTGGAACTGCCAATTTGGAAGTGAAAGTTGCAATCTTTAGCATCTGGGTAATATGCTATTTTTTGTTAGAAATTAAATGAAAATAGAGATGGGTTTGGGGAATGTTGTGGAATGACGAGGATGAGGTTATGGTGGCAGCTGCACTGGGAAGAAAAGCTTTAGATTGCTTAATGTCCTGTTCTGTTTCATACAGTGTTCTGATTGAGGGGCTTTGACTTTTGGAACAGTTTTGTATCGAGTGAGAATTGTGAAAAAAATAGGGTAATTTTTGGTGGAAAGACAAAAGAGTCCTTAAATTTTAATGAGGTGGTAGGAAATAGTAAGGGTATTTTAGAAAATTAAAATATGCATACAATGCTAACCTACTACAACTATGTAGTAGGTTAGCAAAACCCTATATATATATATATATATATATATAATTTTGAATTTATAGATAAAGTTCTAAAATTTGAATTTAAATTAAAAATAATTTTTTTTATCATGTTATCATACTTAATTCGGTTAATGATCATATGCAACCATGTTAGGAGCTTTTGTTATTTTTCTAATTATTTAAATACTATTTCGCCTCTAGCAAAAAAAAAAACTACTCCATATACCTATAAAACTCTTTTACATTTAAAATCCTATAAGCATAGTTCTTTGAAATACTACGGCTAGATTTGAATAAAACAAAATTCTTTTAAAATAAATATAATATACAGGGTACACGTCTATGTTTATCTAAATAATAAAAAAGAGTTTACAAAACCAAATAAAAGTTTACTTACATATATAATAAAGTAAACATACATGCTGGAGAAAAAAACATCACAAAATCAGTCAATATTAAAAAAAATTATTTCTTTTTTCTTCTTGAAGAATATATGTTTGAAGAGTCAATTTGCATAAATGGACATCAAACAAATAACAAAATTTTGGCTATACAATTGCTATCATTAATTTCAATTTAGCACATTCAAGAAATTAAAGGGTATAAGCTGAAACCCCTTCATTTAGCTGTAGTCAAGCCAATATTGCAAGGGTATAATATTTTTTTCGTTGAAGAATATTAGTTTTGAATTATGTATGTGAAAGTTTTGTTTTTCAAACTCAACAAGACATAAATCGGTTTCTAATTGATAGTTTCTATAATGACTTTTAAGTGTAACAAAGAGTATATATAAAGAAAATAAATGGTATGACGTGAAATATCTTTTTTTTAAATGTAAACAAATTATTTCGAAAAATCTCTTTACTTTTTTAACTCAAAAATAATAAAAAGATAAGATATTTTTGAATATTAGTAGAGAGTTTTAAAATTATTATAGTAGAAGTTATATCATGGATAAACTCAAAAAATCAAAATCTTATGGAATATTTACATAATATTCGGCCATATTTATTGTTTATTTTTTATAGCTAATATAATTAGATGATATACCGACAATAAACGATTATACACATATTATATATGGATTAATATATAAATTACATATCATTCAATTTTTAAATTTAAGTGGTCGGGTGAGCACTTACTTAGGCTGATTAGATAAAGCCAAAAGAAAAATATGAAATAATTTCAACCAAAGACTAAAAATATAATTAAAGTTTATATGTAGACAATTTTTATTAAAACTCATCCTTTTATAGTGAAATAAATTAATTCTTTGTAACAACAGAAATGACATAAAAAATAAGATAAAAAAATAAATATTGAAAACAATGATAGAAAGATCTAAAAACGAGAAATAAAAGATGACAACAAATTTCTTCTTATGTTTCATCTTTGTTGAATACAAAAAATTTGAAAGTTAATCTCATCGATTTCAAATATATTTTTTTCAACTCAAATACATAGATTATAAGATAAGGACATCTTCAAATATTTTTTTTAATATACATTATGTGTCGTTTTTAAAAAATTACTATTATTAACAAATTGATATGATATTCAAATTTGAATTGGAATGCAATTTGAGTAGTTTGTATTGAGGTTAAGCCAAGTATGGTGTCGAAAAATAAACCACTTGACAATTTTAAGACAATATATGCAATATTTTATAATAATAATAATCAACTAATTTAACATTTAATGATTCAAAGAACAAAATTTTGTATATATAGGGTATTAAAAATTTAAATTCTGGGGCTAGAGATATCGATAAGCTTAAAGTGGAGTCATACTAAAATAAATCCGGCCAAAGATTCATTTAAATTTTTAGATAGCCGATTAAAGTGAATTTTAAATTAAGGATAATATCTTCACTTGTATCATTATAAGGATAATCATTATTATAATATATATAAAGTTTAGAAATTAAAATTTCAAAATAGAAATATTTTTTAAAAGATAAAATCATACCAAATAAGAGTTCAAGTCGTAGTATAAGAGTCACGTTGTAATCAAAGAATCATTTATATCGTGTCAACCTTTGTGATTTGCCATAAATATGAGTTATTATTTCACTTTGTGACTATTTTTAGGTTCCACTGACATCTATGAGAATAGTGCCAAAATAAAATTATCACTACGAGAATTGAGAAAATGTTAGTCTTTTTTCATGTAATATTTCTTAGTTAATATCTGACGATTATCTATAATTATTTAAAAGGTTTAAATGTTAAGGTGATTTACATATAATTCAAATAACTCAGATATTTAACATGGTTAATGTCAAATATCAAAATGGAGTAAAAACAATTCACTAGCTAAAGAATTTTATATATATTTCGATAGCCCACTAAAATGAGTTTTGAATTAAGAACAATATTTTCAATTACATTATTATAAAAATAATTATTATTGAAAAATAATGCTTTAAAAACTTAAATTTTAAGAAAGAAATATTTTTTAAGAGATATTAACACACCAAATAAGAGTTCAAGTAGTAGTAAAAGAGTTAAGTCTTATCCAAAGAGTCATTCATTGTCTCAATATTTGATTGTTTTGCCATAAATATGAGTTATTATTTTGCTTCCTGACTATTTTTAGGATCCAATGGCACCGGCAAGAGTGATATCAAAAAAGAAAAATGGAAGAGATTGTTAATTTTTTTTCATATAGTTAATATTCAATGATTATCTATATTTACTGAGAAAGTGTAAATTTTAAGATTATTTACATACAATCCAAATAACTTAAATATTTAACATGATTAGTATCCGCGCATCCGCGCGGGTACTAATACTAGTTGAAGAAAGAAGACTGAAGCTAATAACCTAGCTCTTTCCACGATTATATAAAGGTATATTTATTTGTTCTTGTATTCTATAATTCATGACCCAACCCAAATGCTTTTGGCACATTTTGCTTAAATTAATTAACAGTATCACACTTCATTAATAAAATAAAATAAGAAACAAAGTAGAAATGAGTAAGTGAATAGAAATAACTCAAAACAAATTCTTTTCCTTTTCTTTGCTGAAAAGGAAAGGGTGCATTACACTAATAATATTACTACGTTGTATTGCATGAATTAATTTTGCTAGGAGCACAAAGTAAAATGAGATCAGTCATGAAAGTACTAAATACAAAAGGGGCAAGGGTGATAATATCATCCCCGAGATAGTTACATCCATATTTAGCTGTATAGACTATCTATTAATTTCTTGATTCGTTTTCCTTATGTGTTTAACTTGTAGCAACTTCATGGGGTCAGCGCCAACCTAATTCTTGTGTGTAGCAGTGCTGCTTTTTAATGAGTACTCTCTGTTGGAAACACTTTCAACAACTCTTTTAACTAAATAAAATCTATTGATACAAATATGTATAATATAGATAATGTTTCTTTAATTTCTCTTTTACTATATCTTAATATTTGTTTCACCAATGCATTTGAAAAAGCCATATCAAGCCAAAAGATGCAATCACCGCGTTACAAGAAGCTAATTAGGTCTGGTAATTCTTGAGGTTTACCAGGTACAATAATGGTAGAAGTAGGAATCAAAGAATTAGTTTCAAAAGGATTAATTGGTGTTGGTGTAACTTTTACTATAGCATGAGAAATGCCATCATTTTGCTTCAAATCTTCATCAAATGTCTCCCAACGATCAGTAATTACTGTCATCAATTTGCTCTGCTCTTCAAGATTTTGATGATCATCACCAGTTTCATGTACCACAATAGCTTTAGTTACTAATTGAGGCATTTGTGAGGCTTTTTCAGAAACCCCATTAATGATTCCCTCAAGTTCTTTAATATCTTCATCTGGTATTTGCTCAACTCTTGGACATTCTGCTGCATTTTTCACCCCAATGCTTCTACAAAGCTCAAAATACAAAGACAATTCTTCCCCTTGAATGGTTGCTTTTTGCACAATCCTAAGTGCCATGCTAGCTTCAACTTTCCCTGCTGAATAAATCCTCAACAAAATTCTAGCAATTCCATTGCATATTCTGCTATAAACGTCGAAAACTTCAATCATAACACAATCCATTGCTTCAAGAACAAGAGGGACAATAGCTGTATGACATAGTGGCCTAATTTCAAGCAACATGTCAAGCAAAAATTGAAGCTTTTGAAGCATGACAAGATCTTGAATCATGGAATATCTTCCTTCAACAACAACATTTTTATTAATGATGCTGTCCAAATTTTGCAGATTCTTCCTTTCTTGCAAATTCATGAAAAGAAGGGAGGATTTCTGATCAAGGTAGGTGAAATAAGCGCGAACAAACCCATTAATCCCCCACATTTTTGAAGGATTAGAATGGCCATCTTTGAAATTTGAAAGATCAAATGGCAATCTTCCAATTCTTTGAATAGCAGGGAGTTTGGAACTATAAACGCCATGCATGAGCATTAAACCTTTAATTGCAACAACCCAACTTTTCGTTTTCTCCATACGTAAAGAAATTGCCCATATAAGAGATTTAAGATGGCTAGGAGATAAACGTAGCCATTTGTAAACACGGTCAACATTCTTCATATCAATTGAGAATTCGTCGTGACTTGTGGCTTTGATTACAGCAGCTTCCATTTCAGGATTTCGAAAAGCTGTTCGTCTTGATAGGCTAGCAAGCCAAAGGCTGTTACGATCTTTGATTAATCCAGAAGCTTTTTTCCATAGCCTCATTGTTGTTGTTGGGTTGTTTTAGCTATATGTTTTCCCCTGCTTTTATTTTCTTTCTCTTTTTGATATTCTAAGTTTGTGATTACCAGTCAAACCATTGGGATCTTTAAGGAATTGGGAACAAAAGAGAAGAAAACAAATGACCCAAAAAAAAAAAAAAAGAAGAGTTGGCTAGTAATGGAGAACCCAAACACATGGCATGAGTCATAACAAGCCGGCCAAAGATATAAAATAAAGGAACCCCATTTTTTGTGAGGTTTGTTAGAATTACTAATTTTGTTCAGTAAACTTCTTCCTTCAATGTTGTGTTTTTTTCTAATTAAAAAATTAATTTGTGTATTTGAATTTTGTTTTATTGTTGTTTCTTTTGTTTGGGTTATCTTTTCTACTTATGCTGGTAGTATTTTTCTTTTCCTTTATAAGACTGTGGTAATAATTTAAAAACTTTGTTGACAAATGTCATAATCAAGCCAAGTAGCATCCCTTCTGAAAGTCATTAGAAAGATGGCAAAATGCCTTGATAAAGTGGCAAAATCCTAGGAGAAATTCAAAAATAGCCAAATTTACAACTGGTCGTTCAAAAATAGCCCAGTTTTAAAAGTAATCGAAATTTAACCACTTTTCATGTAAAGATAAATCTGAGCGAAAACACTGTTCAAAACCCGAAAAATACGCCAGTATATTATGCTGAAATTCCAGCATAAATATACTTGAACTCCAGCATATTATGCTGGAGTTCCAACATAAGTATACTTGAACTCCAGCATATTATACTGGAGTTTCAGGATAAGTATGCCGGAACTCTAGCATAATATGATGGAGTTCCAGCATAAGTACACTAGAACTCCAGCATAATATACTAGAGTTCCAGCAAGTATACCGGTCAAGCACAATATACTGGAGTTTGGAGCACCGGTGCTCCAGTCTCCAGTATATTATACTGGAGCCAACAAAGTATGCCGGCCCAGCATAATATGCTGGAGTTCATACATAGGTGCACCGAACTCCAGTATATTATGCTGGACCGGTCTCTGTTGCAGCAAAATAATGGCTATTTTTCATTGACTTGGTAAACACTGGCTATTTTTGAATGACTAGTCCGAAAACTAGCTATACCGTGCTATTTTTACCAAAATCCACCAGCCACTTTCTTGCCATGCCCAACAAAACTTCACACAAATGAGGCTATAAATAGTCATTTCCAATCTTTCATTTTCATCATTAGCAAGACAAAGAAATCCTTCTACTTCTTTCCTTTTAATTTCGGTCTTCATCAGCTTTCTTTTGTGGTTTTTTCTTCTCAAAGTTTAGTAGTTTAATTTCTTTGTTCCCCTCTTTTAAATAGCTGGGTTTGTAATATTTAATTTTCCTGATTCCTATATCCTCTAAATAAATAGAGATGGGCTTGTTTAATCCTGTGGAAATATTTCACATTGCTGAAATAGTTTCTTAGGACAGTGCCTAGCACGACTCAAGCCAACTCGTGTATCTGCTTACAAATAATATTATTGCAGTATTATCATCGTTATTTTCCGGTGTCATTTCCCTATAATATAACTTTTTACTCGTTTTTTTAACCAGTTTTGAAAACGCTTTTGAGGGTCTATGACAAAAGAACATCCCATCGTCCTCGGACTTTACTTGTAGGATTTCACCGAGTATGTTAGTTGGTATTATCTCCTTTATTGGAACAATTGTTTTTGAATATTTTTTGTTTCGGTGAAACAAATCAACTCTTTTTTCAAGAAAAAAATACTCGTAATTGTTTTTTTAACAAAACTAACATGCATTTGTTTTAGGATAAGATAAGTTTGACATGGTCAAAAGAACTTTCGTCATATAACAGCGATCAAAAAGGACCGTTTCGTATTATGATCTCACTCGGCAATATCTGCAACAACGTCCTAAAGAAAATCAAATCCGAATGTTATATTGAAAGTCCGGGCATGCGGCGCAATCCTTCTTAAAAATCTTTCGTTTAACATCATTCGGGAGTAGAAAATTATATTCGTTTTTAAAATTACAAGAATATATATATATTTATTCGGGAGAATTACACATAAGTAGAGCCCACACACTTACATTGCAATACAATAACCTAGATTCAACTTTACAAATCTTTAGCCCAAAGATATTAGGCTCAAGTACAAAGAAACATGATTTTTGTTTGCTTTTTTATTCTTTTGCACACAACCAGCTTATATCGATCATATATTGTAACAATCCGACCGGTCGTTTTGAGTATTTACATTCAGTTCGGTGATTTAAGGCCTTGAGAAGCTTCATATTATGTATTATGACTTGCGTGCATAGTCGGTTTCAGTTTTCGAGTGATTCGGGGTTGATTTGGAAGAATGATTCTCATTTTTAGAAGCTAAAGTTGGAAATGTTGACCGAGGTTTGACTTTAGTGAAAAAGACCCTGAAATAGTATTTTGATGACTCTAAGTTCGTATCGTGATTTTGGCTTTGTGCGTATGCCCGAAATTGAATTCGGAGGCCCTTAGCTTGATTTGTCATGTTTTGCCCAAACTTGGCAATTTGATGTTTAGAAATTCCTACGTTTGACCATGGTTTGACCTTATGGCTATCGGGTTTGCATTTTAGTTTCGGGACATGGAATATGTTTGTTTTGTCATTTGTGACTTGTCTGCAAAATTTGGTGTCATTCCGAGTTGGTTTGGTAGGAATCAGACGCGCGGTTGTGTTTTTAAATGTTCTTGAATTCATTGTGATTTTCATGTGTTTTGGTGTTCGATTTATGATTTCGAATGGTATATTGTTGTCTTGATCGCACGAGCGAGTTCATATGATGTTTATTTACCTGTGAGGATCTTTGGTTTGGAGCCCCGGGGCTCCGATGAATTTTAGACGCGTTTCGGAGTGTTTGAAAGAGTTTCTGTTTTGCTGATTTTTGGTCTGGGGCTTTAGGTCTCGCAAATGCGAGATTTAGTTCACATTTGCAAATCTCGTATTTGCGAGGAGGGCTCCACATTTGCGAGGTTGGGGTGGAACTGTTGTATTCGCATTTGCGAACTTATAGATCGCTTTTGCGATGGGAGTTGGGGGCTAGGCAGGCCGCATTTGCGATCTTTTTCTCGCATTTGCGCCATCTAGCAGGGTCGCTTTTGCGAACTTTTTTGTCTCTTTTGCGACTTCTTCAAAAATTGATGAGTGGTCGCTTTTGCGATCATTTTTTTGCGTTTGCGAACCCCAGGTCGTAAATGCATCACCTGCAGCTTGTTTAGAGTTGGGTATTTCTGGACTTAGCTTTATTTTATCATATTTGGAGCCCTAGACTCGGTAGGAGGGGATTTTGAGGAGGGATTTTCTCATACAACTATTGGGCAAGTGATTTTAATCAATTTTTAATTATATTACATGATTATGTATGAGATTTAACATCAAATTCATGAGAATCTAAGAGAAATTTTGTCTATATTTTGAAAGATAAAAATTTAAAATTTGAGAGTCGAATTGTACTTGAATTTAAAAATAAAATATATATATGAACTTGTAGGATCATGGATAGCCGAGATCTACGAGTGTCTCCTGTATTGGAACAAGTGTCTTTGAATATTTTTTGATTTCTGGAAAACAAATCAACTAATTTTACAAGAAAAATAAAATACTCGTAATTGTTTTATAACAAAACTAACATGCATTTGTTTTAAGATAAGATAGGTTTGACATGGTCAAAAAGAACTTTCGTCATATAGCAGCGGTCGAAAAGGGCCGTTTCGTGTCATGATCACTCGGCAATATCTGCAACAACATCCTAAAGAAAATCAAAATCCAAATTTCTTAGTTGAAAGTCAGGGCATGCAACGCCATTCTCTCTTAAAAATCTTGCGTTCAACATCCTTCGGGAATAGAAAGTTTTGTAGGGCAAGTTACACATTTGATTAGTGAGTCAAAAATATTCATTAGCCTAATATATAAAAAAATATACACTAATTATGTATAATGACAGNATGTCACAGCTGGCTAGACGTAGCCACTAAGGCAAAGCCAATAAGAGTAGTACCAGAACCGACTGTACCACCATCTTGGAACCAAATCAAGAAACTATATTAAAATTTCTTTATATTTTGAAAGAGTCTGGATTCTTCATGGTTAATATGCAAGAGAAATTAGTTCTTCAACATAGATATGAATCCGTTTAGCCGGACATAGTCACGGCTTGGGAGAGAAACTAAGTATTTAAAATACTAAAAAGAAAATAGAATAAGTACCTTGAAGGCCGAGAAGCAAGGCCCTGAAGATGAACTGAACTTCAAAACTTTTATTAATCTTCAACTGATTTACAAACTAATAAGCTAAATCTTTACAAAGGGAGTTGAGAGAGAGAGAGAGTAGAGAGAGAGGGGGTTCCGACTCTTCCTTCTTCAAATGAAGAAGTCTTCTTATATAACAAAAAAAAAGAATCTAAAATAGTAAATTGGGTCCTACATCTGGGCCCCTACACAGTGTTTCTACTGTTGATGAACAGTGTTTCTACTGTGGATGAGCAGTGTATCTACTGTTGAGTGGGTCCTGGCGGCTGGTAAGCTGTCAAGTCTTTTTCTTGTCCAAATTATGCATTTGTTGGAGGAAATCTTCCACCTTTTCTATATCTCTGTCAGATAATATTATCTCTGGCTGTATTTGTTGTGTATCTTCCACGAGGTCATCACCACTTGTTTCACTTCGCATTGAAGTTTCTGATTTTTCGCACTGATCCAGTGTTTGAAGCAAGTTTCTTTTCACTTCTTCCAAGTATTGATTTATCAAATCAATTTTATCTCCTTCTTGAATTGAGATTCTTCGAGCAATATGTTTAACTGTGCTCTCTTCTATCATCTTCTTTTGAGGGGTCGTTATATATAATTGGATTTGTGTTTTAATAGAATCCAATAATTCTTGTCCATATAATGTTTTTGTTTTGGGATCAGTCTTTATCAATTTGTCCCAAAAATTATTGTAAAATACCCTATATAAACAAGGGATTTGTTCTTCCGTATA